GGGTTAATTACTAAAATAATTTAAAAAGAAAATTTAATTACGAACTGATACACGTATTTAATGCCATTAAACACTGCAGTTAAACATTTATGTTAATGTAAACATAAATTACCCATATATATATATATATATATATATAGGTATAGTTTCATTATAAACTCAAATATATATATATATATATATATATATATATATATATATATATATATATATATATATACATTTTATTTTAAATAAAAGTATAAATTTTTTTTTAATATTTAAAAATATTATATGTAGTTCCTGAAGTAGAAATGACTAGGAATGGTAGGACAAATCCATAGACATAATATTAAAAGTAATTCTCATGACCGCATTAAACTGTTAAAAAATGCAACATAATTTAATTCTATTATGTTAAAATAATTATGTTATAAAAATAATTATGTTATAGAAGTTCAATTACTTAAAATATTTAAAACAAAAATAATTTGTATCTATACTTTTTGTTAAATAAATAACATTTTCCTTTTTTACTTTATTCCAATTGACAAATTTCTTGCAATTAAAACAAAAATTAATTATCATGTTTAAATTATGTAATATACAGTACAGCTATTGCATTTTAACAAGTTTTACTGTATTAAATTAATAGTTACATGAAAAATGTAATTTTATTTAACGAATACTTTTATCAAAATATATTATTAAATAATTAATTTACTATTAAATAAATAACCATCACTTATACAATATTGTAGGTATAAAGTAAAATAAATTATAAATTATAAACGATTTTTTTATATAATCAATATAAATCAGTTAGAAAAGAATTTTACTCAATTTTTATTTAAGTACATTTTATATGATCAATTTATATAAATCAATATTTAAGTACATTCTCAAATTAAAAAAAAGTTTCTTTTATGTAGAAGCTCTAAAATATAAATCAATTTATTAAAAATATAATACAGGCTAGTTAGACACTTCGATTATTATTATCTTATCATTATTATTGTTTAAAAGAAAAACAATATTTTTACATTTTAAATTACTCCGATATTAAATTTCTAATTAAATAATAAATAGATTAATAAGTGAATAAGGACTAATTCGTCAATAAGTAGTATCCAAAAAAAATTATTAAATAAAATCTATTTAATTATATAAATGAAAAATACACAAAAATGCAATAAATGACAATTAAACTATAATAAGTATTATATAAATATTGATTTTTTGTAAAATAAAAAGTTCTATCCTCATAAGTTTATGAATTATTTAAAAATACTAATGTAAGAAAAAAAATTTTATAAAAACAACATCCATATAATACTATAATTTACATTATTGGGTTTAAACAAGAGTTAAAATGTGACATATGAATAATTGATATATCCGGTTCACTAGAATTAAACAAAATTAATATTAAATATGAATACAATTATTTCTGTACGTACAGTATATTTTTACATATACATTGTTTTTCTAAAATAAAATATATTATGAATGACTAAACTCTTTATATAATGGATCAATAATATTTTATTTATATTTTGTAGATAGATGAACAAAATTTAATTGTATATTGATCAAAATTATATAGAGATTAAAGTAAAAATATAAAAATAACGAAAATTTGTCAATATTTTAAATGTCTATAATAATATAATAATTGAATTCATAGACCTATCTGAATTTAGTACTGTTTTTGAACATACATTACTTATTAAATCAACATCCAGTAATAATTCAGTAACTATCACTAATAACACTAACAACGAGTTTAATAAATATTGACAAGAATGTTTGAACGCATAACTTTAAATTCAGTCACGACTAGTTAATCATCGGTCATTCACTAGTGAACTTATACCACGTACGAACGTACGAACGATTATTGATTATTAGAAAATTAAATGAAATTGTTGTATTATAATTTGCTTGAATTTATAAATTTACACTCACAATATGGGCTAATTAAGTACTGATATATATTTTATAATGTCAATAAAATGCACCTAAACTAGTAAATTATGCTTGGTATCATTTATACCGAAATTGAACATCATTTATAAGATAAATAGTGATATATAAGATCATTATTTATTTTAAATTTTAAATAAACGCTACCTTTATTTTATTCTACTCAAAAATATTAAAAAAAATGTTTTTAATTATATTATTACATTTCAAATGAAATTTCCAATAAAACATGTGAAAGAAATATTTACTAATGGTATTAATTAACTAATGGTATCAAACTATTTCATTATATAAATGTAAAGTATTATTTATGAAACTTTGTCAAGAAATTATAATAAGAAATGCAACAGCTATACGTATTTAACCAAAATTAAAAAGAATGTAGTAAATAATTTTGAAATATGGATTAAAATAAACAATTGAGTAAAATCTATATTATTATAATTTTATTCATAAAAACCAAATTTAAAATCTTTTAAAATTTATGCAGTACTTAAACATAAATTTTTAAAAATATTTGTTATTTACATTATTAAATTTAAAAATTTTTTTAATTTATGTTCCAATAAATGAAATAACTACTGATTAAGTGAAAAAACTCATGTAATTAAGTTTTTATTCATTGAAATTCTTTAATCCAAAAAAATTTACTTTTTTATAACTAATATAATTTATAACTACCAAAACATCATAAGTAAATCTAAAACATTCACCTATTTTTCTTAAACACAATATACAATATCTTATTTAAAATTTAAGATGAATTAGTTGTACTTTTCAAAAAAGTACTAAAAATCTATTAACACTATAAATAAAAATTCAATATTTATACAAATTATAAAATTACTTAATATAATTTTACTTTTGCTGTAGCAACAAGTATGTATTTAAAGAAAAATATAAAATTATGATTTTCTTTATTAAACATATTGACTAATAAAAATAAGGATAATATGTATATTTTTAGAATTAATTTTTAAAAAAAGTATCTATAAGTTATTAAAAAAGATAAACTTATAATGAAAAATTCATAAGAAACGAAAAAATACTTTGTTTCTTAATTTCTACTTCTAGTTTTTTTCTATCTGTCTGTTTGCCTCTCTCTCTCTCTCTCTCTCTCTCTCTCTTTCTCTCACACCCTCTCTCCCTCTCTGTCTCTCTTTAATTTCGTCCCTTACTCTTTGTATTTCTTGTTTTCCTTCGACAAATTTTCATTTATTTTTCTGTATTTAAATATTATTTATATAGATAAAAAATAATTGAAGTTAAAAATATAAAAATAATTTTCACAATCGTATACATATATCTTTATATATCTTTCAAGTAAAATACAACGTACTGGTAAAGTCTATTTACAATTTACAGTCCTAAAATAGCTTTAAATTAAAAGAATATGAATTATAATGAAAGAGATAAAAATTAACAGATACAAAGCTTTTAAATAATACATTAATTTAAAGAAATATTCTTCTATTTTATAAAAATGAATTTTTTTACAATATCTTACTAGTATTACATCATATTGTTATATAAATAAGCTTCAGTGGAATAAGTACATTTAATAATTTTGCACACATAATAAAAGATGCATAAATATAAGAAGAAAATACAGTTAACTCTGATAAAGAACTGATTTATAAGAATTACATAATAATATACTTTATTGTTTAAGCACTTGATAAGTAAAATTTATAATGAACGACATTTACAACAACTTAGCATATAAACTATTAACGAAATTAAAAATATTGTAAAATAATTATTAAAAAATTTAAATGTATATTTGAATAAATTATTTTATTTTTTGTTCATTTGCAAACCTAAATATTTAGTATCCTGGATATGTAGTATACTTTAAAAGAAGCGACTAGAGCAATTGATAAAATTTCATAATAATCATTTAAATAAATCAAATAAAAGTGTATTTCAATAGCGTAATTTTTAAATTCATGTAACATTAAAGTTCTTACAATTAGCAATGCAACTTGCGTAAAAAACTTATAGCAACAAAGTTTCGCGGCGATACTTAGGAATTACTATCTCTAGAAAGATCATCGTACCAATGATCCTCAAGGTAGCGCTATGATTTCAGCTTTGGGCCATTATCGGACGGCAAGTCTTGAAATCAGCGTTCGATAAGAATCCCGGAGGCGTCTGAGCGAACGAGTGGATTAATTTGATTCGTAAAGCGGTCACAAACACGCCGCCCTATTGTTTTTCATTGCATGAACAATCGCCTACATTAGCATCAAATTGATAACGGAGGAATAATCGGACTGCCAATGATGTGTTTGAGTACTGATTTTACTTTATCTTTTAGTTTTGATATAAATATTATGTAGAAGGGTCCATTGATCCTTACAAAGCTAGGCTATGTTATGAATATTTTCCATTTTTTTATAAACATCAAATAATCGTTACTATGAAGCCTTCTACTAAAATTTCCTATTCTATGTGTTTAAAATTATATTATTTCTATGACATACGTTTATATTTTTTATACGCTCCCGTCATAAAAAAAATTATTTTTATTCATCAATGAAAGTTAAACATACATTTTCTTCAAATAATTCATATTTAAATAGTTAAATAGATATAACAAAATTGTTTTTGAAATTTATCACTGTTTTATAGCTAAGTTAGCGTTATATATTGTAATATAAGTAAAATGTCTTAAAATAAGTTCACATTAATTTTTTTATAAATAAAAAATAAAAGATAAAGACAAAGTTTTTATTATAGCTTGTCAGTTAATAAAGCGGTTAATGAATTCATACAAAATTATGTATAATATAGAATATATCTTGTAAACTGTTTTATATCTCTTAATGATATTGAAATAACTACTATTTTAATTAATAAATCAATTTGTAACTAAATTAATTGAGTAATAACTAACAATTTATAAAAATAGTATGATAAACCATTTATGATTTTTATATAATAATATTTAATATAATAATAATAATTTCAATACATTTTAGTAATCATAATTATAATCAATATATTATAAATAGATTTAATTGAGTGCTTACCCTACATCTCCACCAGGTTTCAAGGGATAACGTGCACCCAATTCTATTGCTGGTGCCAAAAAAGTCAGCTGTAGATCTGTAGCATTTTTCCAGACATTTTTTCTAAAAATCGTAATTAAAATTTTTTCAAATAAAAAGAGAAAAAACACTATTAAATGAATCTATTCAAGACAAATACAAAGTATCAATAATATAATAAAAGAGAAATTAATATTCTATATATATGTATATAACGAAACAATACTAATATATACTATTAAATACTAATCAATAATATTCCAGTTAATTATTTTTTAGATATTATTAATAATTTTTAAAAATAAGGTCTGAGTTTTTTATTACTTCAATGTTTAAATTACATATGCATAAATTACACAGTATATATTTTAAAAATCTAAACCATATATAATATATATATACATTTATTTATTTATTAACAAAATTTTTATTAACAAAAGTATTTATTAACAAATGTATTTGTTTATTATTTATTTATTAAAGAAAGTATAAAATAAGCCGTTTAAGTTTAATTTGTAAATTTATATATTTTAATATGATATTTAAAAATGTACTCCTAATATTTTTTATATTATAATAAATAAATAATATTAAAATAATAAAGTAATAGACAGTAATTCTAATAATTTTTTTTATTACTCTCGATGGAATTTTTAAGAAATAATAACTTATTGATTTGTACATTAAAATTTTAAACTTATTTTAATATATTTTTGGTACACACGTTACAAAATTAACGACTTTACAATTATTTGTCAGTATAATGAATTATCTGGATTTCTTTTAGTTACCTATTTATAACATTACAGTTTGTAATAAAAAAAAATGAAAAATTACTTCTATATGTAATTATGTCATATATATATATATAGGTGTGTGTGTGTGTGTGTGTGTGTGTGTGTGTGTGTGTGTACATATAAAGTAATATGTATTTACAGTTAATGTAATCATTTTTATAAGGATTGTACAATTTGTATTTTCATCAACAATAATAAAAGCTGTTCAAATATATAGATTGAAGACGACTATACTATAATTGTAACAAAAATTAACAAATATTCCTTACTATTTGAAAAATAGTATGTAATACTTTTTGTATTTATTTTCACTATTAACAGAAAATAACATATATTTCTACTAATTTAAAAGTTTATAATACATTCTATAACACTAAAACTATTCCTTTATATTATGAATTAATTTTTTTAATTAATTTTATTTTCTTGGAAGAGTATACAATATTTGTATCTACTTTTATAAGATATTATTTATAATATTTGTTTTAAATAATATTTATAGATATAATAATATGAAGATAATTACCTTAATACCTCAAAAAGCGTATCAGTTCTATTATGATCAAACATATCTTCTACATTCCAATTATTAACTTTCAATTGGATTTGGAACTTTGAGATACTGTCATTATCTGACACTGTGACTTCTAGTATTTTTTCTCTAGTTTCATAGGTTTTATTATTTAGAGCAGTAATTTGTAACTAAAATTAAGAATTATAATTTCATAGATGTATCGACAACAATTATATATAATTATAAATTACTATTTTCAATTAGACTTTGAATTTAAATTTTTAGATAGTTTGTAGAATGAAGTTTTGTAGTATATTTTGTAGTATATAAAATTAAATTAGAACTATACTTATTTTATCAGAATACAATAAAGCATATAGAATTTTAAGTTTAAAACATTAAAATGGGTTAAATATGTACTTTAAAGTTTTTCTGATCTTTTGGTGCAACTCCATACAAATATCCACGATACGTCCTTTTACTATAAGTATAATGAATCCACGACGGTAGATCCGGTGAGTCGAGTAAATTTGCTTCATATCGGTATTCATTTCTTCCATCTATAAACGTATATTAATTTAAAGTTAATGTTAAAAGTTTATATCTATTATTGTTAACATATTGTCTACTCTTATAAACTATAAAATTATTATTCTACATTAATCTTTTGTACATTAATAACAGAACTTAAATAAATAATTATACAAAATAAATGTAATTTAAGATGCCTTTAAATTAATTTAAATATATCAATATAAATTTATTAATTATAAGCTATTAGCATAAAAAATAACAAATATCTTTGACGAAGATTCATTTACTTTTTCTATATTAAAAATATGCATAAAATTGATTTTATATTTATATAATCTATATTAAAAATCAATACAAGTAATATTTTATTTACATAACGAAGTTATAAATTCATAAATAATCTCAATTAAAATTAGAAGTTTTATTATCAAAGAAAAAATTAAATATTGTAAAAAATTATCAATATTCAAGTTTTTCATTTCTGTATTCAGAATGGTTAATACCATCGGCCGTAATAACATTATCATAAACACACGTCATATAACATTTAAATATTTACTCAAATGAATACAAATTTGAAAATTATGTAGACAACGTTAATTTTAGTAGAATTTTATTTTTTCCAATTATCAAACCGGTTTATTTTCATATATTTAAAAAAAAATATTTCATTAAAAAAAAAACTTAAATTACAATTTCTAAAATAGAAGATCAAATATTTAATTCTTACTATCGGAAGTCCAATTGAAATATTGCGGTACAATCGGTATAGCAAACACTTGTAACGAGTAAATGTTTATATCAGTTGCAGCTGTTAAAGCTATAAAGCTTAATAATGATAAATTTGCTATTATATACATTTTTGTATAAGTAATTCCTTTTCTGAATCTGAAATTTATTTTCTAATATTAAATACATTTTATTCTTATTAGTTAGATTTATACTTATAATTAGAATTGAGTTTTTTATACGTAGAATATGTAAGACGCGCATAATTTTATAAAAGTAACCTGCAAATACTGTTTTATAAAATTGAAAAATTAAAAAAAGCTATTTAATAGAATAATTCATGGTATATTATACATATTTATATATTAAGAATCAACAGAGAAGGATTTAGAAAAGTTTATAAACGTGTTACTGTTTAAAAATTATTTAAAAATTATACTTTTCTTGTAATGAACTACAATTTTTTAACGAGCATGTTTAAAAAATATTTATTGTCTATAGACAACAAAAGTATAATAAAATTTTCTTTAAATGGATTATATATTAATAAATGAAAAATTTTTAATATTTCAAATTTAAGTTTAGATAAAAATAACATTCTCATTATTAATTATAATAAGGTAGTTTATATTATCGGTATTTTCATTATCATCGTCGTCTTTGTCATCGTCGTCGTCGTCTTCGTCCTCGTCCTCGTCGTCGTTGTCATTATCATTATCGTCATCATCATCATCATCATGATCATCCAATGTCGTTATTGTTATTAATACCATTTGAATAAATCAGTACTAGATTTTTTAACAGTTAAATCTTAGGGAACCGTGTGCAGAATAGAACAAGAAAAAAAATTGGTAGAGTGCATACTTTTCGATGAATCATTACAAAGAATGGTCATCTGACAGCTTTATCTTGCGAATGCAATTGTGAAGCAAATAATTTCGGACTATTGTAAAAGCCCCTTTAAAAACAGACGTCTCGTTGTCAAGAAGAATAATAAAAAGCAAGGCGAAGAAAAGTGAGCGGGGAAACGAGGGCGAAATCACTGGAGTGCGTGCACATGTTATGGATCGTTAAATTACGCTACTCTGCGTGTTGCACCTCCGTACGGAAAGGAGAGAATTTTCGCCGTGTAAGCTTACAGAGGAGACGACCGCGAATGCTGGACTAAACGTGAGCGTCATTGACGCAATTCGTTATGCACTCTCTAGCGAAAATGATATGGCGACAAGCTGGTGGCGAGTTCATGTATGTTGAAAGAGCCTTGTGGCTACCAATGCCAGAGTACAGTCTTAATGACTCGCGTCTTTGCTCTCTTATTTCCAGTCCTCCTGCAGACACCATTCATATATCACTGAGTAAATCAATATGGAAATTTGTACAAATTTATATGCACTACGTTCTTTATGCTATTAACGTTAAAAATATTATTCTAAGAAAAAATTTTCATTTAAGTCAATTGAGAAGCATTACACAATTCGAGAAGAATTATATTCAGATTACCGTTTTTGGCACGGGTATTGTTTTCAGTCTGAGCATTACCGGTAATAAAATATTTATTAAATCTTTAAAAAATATCTTTAACATCCATTTTTACAATTTTTCCCATTTTTAGAACACATTTTAGAACCATTTTATGAAGTTCATATGAATATATTGTTTAAGTTACAACGGCATGTTTACTACCCATATTAACAAATACTTTCCGATATAATATTCCGATTATTTAAAAAAAATAATATAACATGTGTCAAGAAGCTTGTTTTAAAATATTCATTCTTTCATTCAATCTAAAGAGTATTCACATTCAATTCAATGGTTCTTAATTTAATAGTAAATGAATTCAATGATCTTAAAGTAATTATGGATTTTCGGTATATTTGTTTATTTATTAAGAATATGATAAGTTTGAAATTAAAAATTACTTACTCGAATAATTTGATAATGATCAAAATATAAAAAATTAATTTTCTTATCTATGAAAAATATTTTTACAAAATATGAAATAAAGGCGTAAGTTAATCTGCAATAGCAAATATTATTATTTATTTGTATCTGAAGTGAATGTAGAAAGAATTTAATGAAAATTTCATCCATGTACATAGTACGTTTAAGCATTTGAATTTATATTACAATACCTTAATTTAATTATTTAATTATAAAGATTGAATTTAATTTTGTATAACTTAAAAATACATATCCATTGATAAATTTTAATTATGTACTTATCTTCCTGAGTATAAATTAATTTTTAAAACACTAGTAACTTTGTTACTGCTTATAGATTGTAATAAAATAATTATTAATTTCTTCAAAATATTTAAACAATAATTCAAATAAGTATAAACGGAATATTTTATTTAATTTATTTACAGTTGTATTGTGAGAAAGATTTCACTAAAAACGATTGTGAAATACTTGGAAACAGTATGTAATAAATTAAATTAATTGAATAATCCATTTAAAACAGATGTAATACAACGTATGCTCACTAAATATTGAATGAAAAATGTATATAAATTTATTTAATTTACAAAATAATTAATAAATATATAAATGAAATAATCATTTATAATAATTTATCAATAATTATAAACATTAATTTGAGATGAAATTAAACAAAAATAGTAAGAGTAGATAGATTTATATACTTTATTATTTATTATATACTTATTTAAAAAACATTTTAAAAGTTAGGATGTAATGTTAATAAAAAATTTCTTCAATATTGGAACTTGGAAAGTTATAAAATAAATATATATTTAATAATCATCAGTAATGTATTAATATAAATAAGTGAAAAATATAAATCATAATGAAAAAAATATATTCAATATATATATTTAATATTATTAGTTGGGTTAGGTTTAGATTTTGATCTAAACAGATATTATTATTATGAATATGATCACTATATGAATATATTTAATCATCACTTAATCAACATTCTATATTTTATTAAATATTTATAAAACAACTATGATAATAGTATTTGAAGTTAAATATTTAAAAGAATGTTGATAATGAAAGCATCGATGTACCTTTTAAATTTACATAGAAATATTTATTTTTTAGAAATATACATAGTAACATAATTACAAAGCAATTAATTTATACATTCATTTTTCTGAAAATAAATAATGAAGATATTATTAGAAATTAGAAATTTTATCTAATGTATAATATTTCATAGCTTTAGTATGTTACAGTAAAATATAAAAAATTTAATATTGTAGTTATACCATTAATTAAATATGATGTATACAATGATATTAAAATTAACTAAGATAGCTTTCAATTTATTTTTTCTATAGATACAAATTATAAATATTAAATAATTTAAGAGCAGAATAAAAAGAAGAAAATTTCATACATCAATGTACAATTTCTAGTATTTTTACATTGTATTAGCAAGTATATATAGAGAAATACCATTTGTAATTGGTAATAAAGTTAATTATATGCCAATCATAATATATTTTAATTAATTATAAATTAAAAATCATAACCATAAATAAAGCTCATTAAGCCTAATTAAGCATAGTATCTATTTTCACAATACTTATTTTTTACTTTTTAAGTACTATAAGGAAACGTATAATAAAATAAAATATTAGCAGGTAACTAGAAATAAAAATTGAAATAAAGAAAAGTAAAATATTAGCCAGACATTAAAATATAAGTAGCTTCCGAACTAGTTTAAATAATATTTACAATTGTAATTTTATTATACTTCACGCAATAATAAAAAATAAAATAAAAAATATTAATTCTGTATTACACAGGTTAATTTTATAATAGAATGTGATAATTGACATACTAAAATAAGGCCGATGTATTTATTAAAATACAAAATAATCGAATTAATAAAAGCGAGCCGCACATTATAATCAAAATGAAACGTTAATTTAATTAGCACAAGGAATGAAAGGGCTCTTCTTTTTTAGAAATAGAAAGCTTGATATCTCGAACTTGCATGCGACAATGTGAAATCCAACCGATAACGTCATTTACGTCACCGTGCACGAGTATTTACGAAAAAAACTGAGCAATCCTCTGAGAATCTCTTGCTCATCTCAATAAAATAAAAAAACATACCTCGTTAAGTTGTTAAGCTGCTAAGTAGCCGTAAGGCGACCTTATCAAGGGCGAGATTTTAACCCAGAAAAATACCTGATATTTTAACGCAATCCAGAAGGAAACGATTGCAGCAGACCGTCGGGCATTTTCGTCCTTCAGTGGCGGGTGCGCAGTCGCACGCGTCTGCGCCGAAGCATTTATAGGGTCGCGTCAACCAAAAAGCAGTCCCCTGACGGTCGGATGTCGGTGTTTGGCTCAGGGTGATGCTTGTCGTCGACAGTCCAGGCGGAGTTCTCGGGTCGGGTGCACATGCCTGCGGGCGTCGCACGCTCACCAACAGCCACCACTGTTATGGCGAGACTGGCTGTTTCGGGAAAATGTGCGACCCCAAGGATCATTATCCTGCGCTTATCGCAAGTCTTCGAGTGACATACAATACGATTGGCCGACTAGATGAAGAGCGAAGTGGTCGTCTCGTTTTTTTTTGGCTGGGTAAATTTCTTCATTGCATTTGTTCGTCAATTCATCTTTCTTCCTCAAATAGTTTAATGAAGATGGGAAACAGAAATATGTGGAAGCATTAATACTTATAACATATTGTCACGAATAATTGTTTGTGAACTGTATCTCTTAAAATATGAATTGTAATAAATAGTTAAGTAATTTCATTTATTTATTCAGCAGTAATTTCAAAATCTACTATTAATATTCCAAATGACTTTAAGTGTTTCGCATTTATATCAAGGAATTTTGACAACATTAATAAATATTAATACAAGTAATTTAATAATAATACATAAAATTAAGTGAATAAAAATTTAATTATTAAAATTCTTTAATGAGATTACAAATCGTTAATGTGAATTACAAATAAAAATTTCGTTAATTTTAGTTAAAATTTGTCCTCCATCTTAAAGCGCAATGTATAAATAAAAATTATGTTTAATAGGTTAATCAATAAACAAAATACATCTGAAGATTACTCAATAGGTAAGATGACCTAAAAGTTGATATACTCTAAAACTATTAGAAATAATACTTAATATTATAACATTAAAGTTTTAACTTAAAATTAAGAGGCCATTTTAACTTAATGTGGCATTATAAAAAAAAAATATATGTACAATTGTTTTTCACATATGTCAAAATGTAAATTATATAATTAAAATATTTTACAAAAAATTATCTGTTTTCGGTTAAAAGAAAGAAAAGAAAAATCATACCTCTGCAGTAATAATAGCTCTTATAATACATTTCGATATAACTTTGCTGTACAAAAATGTGCGACTAAAATTTTATTACGATACGCAGAAATAAATATAAAATTACATACACATGTACTGTACTATAATCTTAATACATTGATCAAAGTTACAAAGTATGCTTATTTAATCTTATATTATATATTTTCTGGGTATTTGAGCTGACTTAAATAAACTTAAGATGATTATGTCTAATTATATTTATATATAAACATATAACATTTGATATTTAATTTATATTTGTTTAAAATCAATTAAGTTATATAAAACATAATAATAATAATGATAGTTCATAGAAAATAATAATCAAATTTTATAATGATTATTAACTACGCAATGAAATCCAAATACTTATATAATATAATACATTTAAATAATAATTACATTTATTTATAAATATTGAAATTTATTATTTATTATATTTCAAATATTGATATGCTAAATTGGAACATTTCAACTTTCTATTCATTCGCTTAAAATATTATTCAGAACGCTTTAAATATTATTATGGGTTTAAAAACTAATTTATATTATTTGATTTTGTGAATGAAATAGATGTAAATGTAAGGATTAGTAAATATATATTAATTATTTCCCATTTATAACAGTATATATTCCTGCTACTAAGTACTGTCGATATTTTTAATTTATATTTTCATAAATAAATTAATCAGTGATTTATTAGGTCAAGAATAACGCATTTGAATATTATCATAGTTAAATATTATTAATACAAACGATAACAGCAATTATGTAGAAAATAATATAACTTTATTTGCGTATAAATTTTAAATGTTTAGAAACGTAGTATGTGAAATATTTTATTATAAATATGCCTTTGTAATTAAGAAAATATAATAATATATTTTCATACATTTATATATTCATATATATATATATATATATATATATATATATATATATATATATTAAATTATGTATAAATAAATAAAATTTCGTAATTAAGAATTTTGTAAAAAAAATTATATTCATTACATTACTAATATAATTAATAATGAAGAATTATACACAATACCTATTGCATAAAAATTTATTAAATACTTAAACATATTATTTAAATTAAATCAATGCTTGCAATATATTTTGTAGAACCTATTTTTAGTAATTATTTTTTTTAAGAAATAATAAGAAATTATTATATATGAACACGAAGTATAGTAAAATAATCTTTGCTTAAAAAAATTGATTTTAGTTTAATAATTTATTATGAAAATAATATTACTGGTGAAAATACTCTGAAACATTAAAAAGTAGGTGATTTTTAAATTATCCTGTTTTCTTTTATTTAAAAAGCAGTGCGCATTTTTCTATTATAAATTGAATATATTCTTACAATTCAATTATCTAATATAAATAGTTTTTTTTTTAATATGATATAAAAATACGCTACTAAAAACCATTTGTTACAAATATTTATTAAAGATATAATGAACCGGACATTTGTTATATATTAATATTTAAATTCATCCTAGATTTTTAATTTATAAAAAATAACATAATTCTGTTTTTCTGTTATTTGTTTTTTTCCAGTTTCTGGATTACTATACCGAGTCTCCTTTGTTAAAATATGCAGAATTTTCAAACGCACTAATATCGATTAACACATCTTGATATTTAACTAAGAAAATTATATTCAGTTGTTATTTAATTGTTTAAATATATACTAATAAATTATTCGTTCTATGGAATTTAAAACAAATTTGTAATTCGAAATTATTTCTTATGATTTTTTTATTTTAAATCTTTAAAATAATTTTTAAATCATAAACACAAAATATAATTATTTTAAATTATGTGGACTACATATTTAAAATGGAATTAAAAATATTAATGCCATTGAAAATATGAATATTTCGAGTTAATTACAAATTACTACATTTCATTGGCTATAACAATTATATGCGAGTAGAATTTTAAGTATATTTAAATTTTTTTATTTAAATATCGAATATTGCTTTCCATTTATAAATTTTTTTAATTACATGTTAACTTGAAAATTGTGTTAGTTGAATAAATGAGTAGAATTAGACGGGTGCGGTAAGACGAATTTATTACCTATATTCTTATATTGCAAATAATTGTGGTATTTTTTAAATCTACTATTTTATATCCTATCGATATCAACGTGATGATAAATATAATATTATAATATATTATAATATGTATCAATTTTAACATAAAGTTCAATAAAAACTATTATCGATAGACATCTTATTTAATCACTATTATATTTTTTCATATTTTTTACATGATTTATACTCTAATGCTTAATTTATATGAATATAAAGTTTAAAGTATATTGTTTTTATAAGAAAATAATGTTTATTTTCATAATATCTTATTGCCATATTAAAAAAAATGAACATTAATTTTCAGTCTGTAATTTATTTTTATTTACTTTTTATTTTACTACAAAACGATTGACTTAGTACTTATAAAATAACATTTTGAATACGAATTTGACTCCATGTTTATCTTTCATGAAATACAAAAATGGAAAAGGAAAATTCCTTTCAGAACCCGTGGGAGCTAGTGATTATCTTGCAGTCTGACGTCGGCTAAGTCTCCCCAATGTCAATTCAATAAAAATAAAATTTAAATTCAGCCAAGCACAATATTGACCTCTCTTTCTATTCAGATTACCGTCAAATTCATTATTTTAAATACAAAAAATATTATTTTGAAACTATGTTAAATAATTATGATTTTATAAATATATATTTAGTAAACTAATATCTAACAGAAATTGGTTCATTATATATTTACTGAAAAAATTTTTTGTAAAATCAATATTGTTAACTTTATTATACTTTTATATATTATAAATTTCAAATGAAATGTGTTGAATTAATATTTGAAAATCATAAACGACATTCTTTAAAATACATATTATAAATCAATATATTTTATAATTAAAATTTTTAAATTAAAACACTATTTAAAATTTAAGATTACATTCTTGCATATACATATATTATATACAAATATGTATATATGACGTAATCAAAGAATAGTAATCATAGCTAAAATACATAGCTAATTAATCTAATCACAGCATTCGACCACATCCTACATGATTTACAGAATTACGCGAGTTTAGTCAGTAGATGTAATTGAAAAATATTATCATTTGGAAGATAAATTGATGGTTATCATAAATTTAATTTATTTTTCATGAATATGCATAAATAGCAAAGTATTTTTAAATTTTCATTAAATAAATATATGTATAAATGTATTATAAATAATTATCTTAAAATAATACGATTACATTATAGAGTGAGAGTTTGATTTACAAAATGAAATGTATTTATATTTCAATTAATTTTGAACTCATCACAGTCCCAGTTTTTAATAAATTATAATTAAATATAATGAAATAATAATTCTTTAATTAGTAAAATTAAAGAAAAATATCTTGTTTTAATTAAATATCTACTCATAAATTAAGTAATTACAAGTTTGATGGAAGGCTACATAATTAATTCCTTAATAAAAATGTTTTATAATAAAGTGTTAAATATATTCTTATATTAAAAAAGGAAACCGATTTAAACTCACATTTAAATTTTACTTTAAATTTTCAAATAGTTAGTTTTATATTTCAATAAAAGATTTTAATCTAAAACCATTATTATATAATACAAGTGTATGAATGGATATTCTATTTATATTACGGTAAATATATTTCAAATTCATTTATATAGTAATGTTTTAACAATTATTAAAATTGTAAAATTTTAAATATTTTTTGTGCTTTAAATGGATTATATAAATTTGTATGCAAGTTTAAAATTTGTTTAATTTACTTAAATCTTATTTGTATTAATAATAATTAATCATAAATGTTATTTTCTTTATGCGAATATTTTTATATTTAAATAATTGAAATTTTATTATTAATATAGTAGATCATTAATTTTATATTAATTTTAAAGAAGTAAAAATTTTGGAGAAGTATATACATTCTATAAAAAATGTATTCATATATGAAAAAGTTACTTTCATTAATATGAATATTCATATTGAACAAATAATTGGATAGGATTGGAGCAACTGTCGATATACTTAAATTATATTCATATAATTTTATGAACGAAAGGTATTATTTGTTTATTTCATATCGTAATCATATACTTTATTTTTTACGAGTAGACAAATATAATCAATTTACATAAACACATTGAAGTCAG